TTCCAAGACTTTTATCTCCATGCACTCTCCTCAAGTCCAGGCCTATATATCCACTTGCCTATTGGCTAATTATTTTTGAATGTCCCATAAATACCTGACTCACTGCAGAAACTGAGCTCATCTTTTCTCCACTATAGCACCCTTCTCTCCCTTCCCCCACCCTATAGCTCATTTAATGCCGCTACTTTCCTAGAAGAGAGTCAGGCCAGATGCCTTTCTCCACTGTTCTGTGCAATAACCATGTTGTTCACCCAACTTTCTAAGTATCTCTGAAAGAGGTCTCCTCTCTTCTTTCCCATTGCCACTGATAAGCTTTTCCTCCACATCTAGGCTATGAGAAACAGAACAGATTTCTCTGGTGAAGAAACAGATTTCCCTTGATGAAGCACTTTTCCATTCAATTGCTGACAGGCTGTTCTACTGAAAACTAAACTTTTATGATCACCTCTTTGTTTTAAAAATCTTTCAACAATAAGCCTTACTGTCAGCATAAACTTCAAATATATTGGCTTATACCTGTACCTCACACCCTAAGCAAATGGAAAAGACCAAGTGATTAAAATGCTGTCTCACAACCTTGTACCTACAAGTACACTCCTTCCTCTCCCTGGAAAGCTGTATTTTAAGAATGGGGAAGACCAAATGATCAGGAGTTAAATGACAAGGATGAAGTCCCAGCCTTGCAATTGCATAACTATGTAACCTGGTTATGTGGTTCAACACCCTAGTTTCCTGAGTCATAAGATAGGACTACCAAACGGGATTTGTGTGTGTTTGTGTATGTATGTGTGTGAATAATGCAGTGTGACATATACTAAGGTATTTAGGGTGCTTTACGGAATGATTATCATTTTAACGTCTGAAATACCTCTACCCATACTCTTCCTGTTGACCAAGAGGGCCTTAATATTTCCTTCAGCTTGACTAAACTTTAGGTACGCTCCTTCCTGACTCCATGCTCAATCTCTCTAGAGCATTTATGTTAATAAATTCCTAACTGTAAATTCTTTTCTCTATCATTTGAGATGTAAATCTTCTCCCAGTCCCTTGTCAACTTTACATTAAGAAATGTCTTTCTCAGGGACATAGGAGTCTTCCCTTTGAAATGTAGTCATTAAGATACTGTCACTGTTTCCCAAGATATGTGGAACAGTAGGTGCTTAACTTTGGTGGGCACTTTGCTACAAGTTGTAAAACTACCTCTTGTCAAAAAGATGAGAGAAGTTTGTTTTTCCCTTGGTCAAAGCCAAAGAGCAAACACAGAGGGCCATAACAAACGCTGAGCAAAGTATGATTAGAAGGCTCCTTATTGCTTAATTAACATCTTAAGGACCTCTGGCAAAAATGGAGAATACAGTATCTGATATATGTAATATACACCAAAAAATCTATACTGAGTAAGTAAGGAGAGATTATACCTCTTTCTCCTAGAATATATTTCATTTTGTACCTTCTACAAGCTTGTAGCATTTTGGGCCCGTAAATGTCTCCAGAACCACTAAGTTACATATTTAGTTTGAGAAACATAAATACATATATATATATAAACATACACACACATATATAAACATATATGCATATATACATATGTATATATAAACATATATACATATATAAACATATATACATATATATTTATATATAACATATAAACATAGATACATATATATGTGTTATATTTTTTCTTTTGCCTAGGAAATAATCTTACTCCTTAATTGTTCAAATGCTAAGTTTGGGAAACTGAATATTAGAGTATTATGAGTTTCAATCTTGCCTTGTCAAGTGTTTTCCTAAAAGAGAGCCAACCTCTCTCTTTTATGTTTCAAAGCTTATACAAGCCAGTGGAAAACACTTCAAGATTTATGAGCACATCAGTTTCACCGCTTTCATGGGGCGCACAGCTTACCTTTTATTGGGTGCTAATTAGGGGAAACACTCTAATAAGTGTTAGACAAACTAAGCATGTTATAAGCATTTAAAATGACATTTAAATGTCAATTCTGGGGTTTAGATATTGGGGTCTTTTTGTTTGTTTTTTTATTGACTAAGCTCATCGTACTGAAGCCTCTTCTATTAACTTTGTCCTGGAAAAATGACTTTCTTTCTGTTTCTTGAATTGTTTCCTTCATCTAAAATCTTTTCCTGCCAAGTCTTTTCTATGCTGGTTCCTTCTCATCCTCTAGGTGTCAGCTTAAATTAAAGCTAACCTATTCAAAGAAGCTTTACACGGCTAAAGTTGCTGCCTACCCCTCCCATGTCACTCTCTACCTCTGCCTCTTGATTTATCTTCTCTATAGCAGCAGTACATCAGAGTGTGGTCTATAGTCCTGTGGGGATTTCTAAGACTCGTTTTCAGAAGATCCATGAGGATAACATTTCCATAGAAATATTAAATATTTGCCCTTTTACCTTATTGACTTTGGTACTAATGGTGTAAAAACAAATGTAGGGATGATTCTTGGAACTTTAATATAAATAAGGCACTGAAACCAAACTGATGGTTGTATTCTTCACCACCATGTAGTTCAGGACACAAAAACAAAATACTTGAGACGTCACTTAAGAATATCTTTGATGAAGCAATACAATATTTTAATTTTATTAAACTTTTGTACTGCTGTGCATATACATTTCCAATATTCATGTGATGAAATAGGAAATAAGCATAAAGCACTTCTGATGCATAGCAAAGCACGGTAATTATCTCAAAGAAAAGCTCTATGTGATTAAGAATATTTTCATTCCAAAGAACAACTGAAAATCAATGTGGGTTTGGCAGACATTTTTTAAAATATTGACAAAGTGAGTCTTTTACTTCAAGGGAAACAAATGATAATATTTGTTGCCAGAAATGAAGTTTTAGGTTTTCCAGGAAAAATGAGAATTTGGGAAAACTTGTATGTGCCATCACATGCTTGAAATATTCCTAATAATTATGACTTTCCTGAGGAGAACTGTGGTAATATTAGCTTATGTGTATTTGCATAATGAATTATGCTAATATTTGGAAGACATGCATAGCTCTGTGAACCAGCATCTTCCAAATGACCAAATTATTATGTTACAAAATCACAAATGGATAAAAAATCCATTCAACGTGCAAGATTATAAGAAGTATGAAAAGTTCATTGATATGATTATAGATTCTACATTGCAGTTAATATTTAAGATACTACCACTTGCCAAGCTTTATCACCAACTTACATTCTAGTCTGTATTTTTAATTATTGTTTGTTGTCTGCCTCCATCCATCAGATTACTAGCCAGGAGAAGAAAGTTTAGAGCTGTCTTTTTCATCAATATCACCAGTGCCTAAAGCACTCACTGGTATTTATTGGGTACTAAGTAAATATTTGGTTGCATGAATGAATTCCCATTTTAAGATGAAGAAACTCAGTCTTAAAGACTTAAAAGTTACACACTTATGATCACATATCTAGTAAGCGGCTGAAGAAGAATTCAAACTCTGCTCTGTCCAATTACAAGACTTATGTGGTCAATTCAATTACTCTACCAAATTACTGCAGTCGTCAAAAGTTAGAAGTAGTCTTGTCACAATATCTAGCTTTAATATCAATTCTAGTCTATGTGAGTATCTATAACATCTATGTCTGATATGAAATTATTTTAGAACTACAGGAGCCTCAAAGAGTACTTAATCCAACTTCTCACAGACTTACCCAGAGTAACAGAGTTAGCAATCCATGCAGCTGAGAGAGAGTCCCGGAGCTTTCATTTATACCCACTTGGGCATAGTGTGTGGAGGTGCAGTTATGGAAATGACACAAAGCCATTATCATTTCTTCTGCCTCATCCCCAGTTCTTTATTTTGCAAAACCCCAGATGAGGAAGAAAAGTGAGAAGAAAATGGGGCCTGGCATGTTAAGCTGAGGACTCTGACTTTCTGATCATAGGAGATATATTTTTCCTTACTGAACTACCAGGTCACACATTTTTCAGAGAGCTCCACCAAACAAGCCGCGCCCTACCAGAGACTGCAGCATCTGAACTGAAGTGCATTCTGGCAATCCCAGCACTTGCCGGAGGTACAAAGTACCAGGCTTTCCAGAACAAAGTCCTTTGGAAAGGCCCTTGCCAAGACTCCAGTAATTTAATTACTTTGGCTTTACTTATGACGATCAAAACAAACCAACAACAAAAACGCGTTATTGCTAAATCATTTCAAATGCTGCAAGGCAGCAACCAAGGCAAAAGCAGCACAAGCCATCACTAAAGGATATGTTCACTGTGCTTTCACAGGTACTGTTCACTGTGCTTTCACAGCTGGGTAGTTGGGGAACGGAAAGAAGTGGGCCTCCACACCCCCACCACTTTGCCCTCACAATTCTCAGGGCAATGCTTGTCTCATACCAATTCCAATGCTCAGAAAATACTCTTGATCAATTTTGGCCTCATGCACTGAGTGCTTAGGGTGGTAAGCTCATCAGCTTCTAGCAGAGATTTGGTAATGGAAACATAATCACCGACTGACGAATTATATAGATGCTATTCAAAAAAGATAAACACATGCAATTTGCAGCAACATGGATGGAGCTGGAAGGGATCATGCTCTCGAAATAAGCCAGAAAGAAAAAGAAAAATACCGGATGGTCTCACTCATAGCAGGAATCTAGAAAACTTAAATAAGGGACCAGGAAAAAGAATAACTATAAGAAAGTGAAAATCAAAATCAACAAAAAACTATGAACCAGAGACACTCTATGGAGGGTGGGGGGGCGGGGAAAGGAGAGATTGGGGTCAAAATAAGGGGGTTGTAATTGCATGGGGAATATAAAAATAAAATTTAAATAAAAAAATTATATACATGCTAGTATATGCTGCGTGCAGTCACCATGAGTACGGTTCCTTTAATCTGGAAACACTATGGTGTTCTGAAAACCAAACAAATACTGCTGCCTGTAAAGAAGGAGGTTAAATTTGTAACTGACAGTTTATATGCTTCTGTTGGTAAAGATAATTATAACGCAACCATCCCATACCCGGTAGGCTCATCGCCGGTTCAAGCAGCCGTGTTGGTGTTTCCGTGTTCTCCGCTGCTCGTCGCCACACTCCACCGTAGGCCTCGGTCCTCGGCACCACGCCACACACGTCACTCCACGCACGCCACACACCAGGCAGGCCACGCCACGTACTCGACGCCACGTACTCGGCGCCACGCCACGCCACGCCACGCCACCCTCCGCCCCCTTGGCCGAGTGCGCATGCTCCATGGGAGGGCGGAAAAGCCTGATGTTTTTCCCTTTTACTTACCCCACAATAATATTTTAAATTTAGAGAGATCTCACTCCAGATCATAGCTGTCGTTTGAAAATACTGACTTAGCTTACAGCACTACTACAAATTATAAAATAGTCACATGTAGCTCTTCTAGAGTAAACGAACACATTATTATTTGGGGGGCAGAGGAGGGGACGGATATTAAAGAAACTAGATACTTAAATTAATTGCGTTAGTAATAGAGAGTTTTAAATTATTCTAATTCATAATTTGTCAATTATTTTCCCTAACATTGACATTATTTATTACTGGATTTCAACCTGTCATATCCAGACACTAACATAAAATGTTTAATAAATCCTTGTTGAATTAATTTGATACGGTGGCTGTCAAAGTATGATCTGGTAGGTGGAGCAACTTCTATTATTTCACAAGCACCAATTGCCAAATTATGAAGAATTTTATGAGCCAGTTATTAAATAGAATCATTATTAAAATTAAATTATAAAAACATACAATTAAATTACATTGCAATAAAGGTAACTTCAAAACCCCTACTTCCTAAGTATTTCACTATTTCTAGGATCTTCAGGTTATATGCATCTATAGTATTTAAGAGGTAGAAATATTATATGATGATGTGCTGACATGCATTTCTAGCCAGCTCTACAGTATCAGCCACTTTGAGAATATTTACACCAGGTCAATTGGCAAATGCTACAAATTGAACTTTTCTTTCTAGCCTGGTGCACAAGTTATCAAAATATTGGAAGAGTCCAAGATTCTTTCAGGTCCTTATCAATCCTTTTAATGCGATAGGTCAGTTTTTCTTCATTTATTTATACCAAAACAAAACATTAAAACAGATCAAATGTAGAAGCACTTATGAGACTCTAACTGCAAGGCAAATAGCAAAGTAATTTTCAAAAAATGTAAGCTCTGCCCTTCTCAGTAACTTTTTTTTGAAAACATTGTGTTAACAGGTAAAAATTTATGTATATTTTTAAATGGATTAATAATTACTTTTATTTTTAATTTAAATTTCTAATATAATAAATATTGATAGATGTAACTCACAAAAGCAAAAGCTCTTTGGGAATCTCAATAAATTTTTAAGTGGGAAGGAGTCTGAGATCAAAAGCTTGAGAATCAGTGACTTAATAGTAAATTGATGGAACAGTAAATCAAATAATAAATCACTTGTAGAGTTTTAGATTCTGTAATCAAAGGCAGACAAGCAGGTCTGCATTCCTTAGTCTTTTTGAACTTGGGAAATTCTTGACCCTCTTTGAATCTTTGTCCATTTGCAAAGGCAGGCAGTGGTAGACAAAATTAACTCAATGAACATTTTTAGCTCTGAGTCTGCAATTCTAAGAATGATAAATGAGTTTTACTGCTAATTTAAAGACAGTAGGTTTTAACCACCATCTTTTCCTACCTCCAACCCACATCACCATTGTCTATAATAATCTTTTCCACCTCAGCTTCTGTTACAAAGAAATTTTACGTTCTCTTACATCACAATAATTACAGAAGTTTTTACTCCAGTTGTCAAAATATCAGAACAGCCTTGGATTAAAGTCTATGCCATGAAGCAGACCCAAAAGCGCAGTGCAAGCCAGTAAAATAGCAGACTTTATTGTCACTCCATCAGGTGGAACTGGGGCCGAATTTAATAAAGCAAACTACTGTCCAGGCCCTAGTTTGCGGCAACCCACAGCAGCAACGCAACATGGAAAGGCTGCGCTGCTGAATTGGAAAGGCTGCACTGCTGAGTACTTTCTGTGTAAACACCACAAATTAGCATCTGCTGGGCATCCTTGAGAATGTGTAAATTATCAATCTTGATTCCAGGCAAATCGGACCTGCAATGTCTCTGCTATCACTTGCGGCAAAATGCAAACGATGCGTGAAATAAAAGATCCTGGCCAAAGGTGCCAAGGCTACAGCCTTCGCTTTCATATCACATCTGCGGCTCCTCTCCCCTGACGCACCCGCACCCGCAGCCAGAGCGAGAGGCAAAGCGCTTCCCGCTCCTCAGGGAATTCAATCTCCAGATCCCCCTCCCGACACTAGACCAACCACCGCAAATAGCTGCCACACCAGGCACGGGGACGGAAGGGTGGATGGGTGGGAGCCGCGGGGCTCGCTCCCTCCGATCGCCGGCTATGGAGAGGTCTGCGCCCCTGATGCCAGGCCCCGGAATGGCCGAGTAGCCAGAGCTGCGCTAAAATGGCTGCCGGCTGCTCGGAGGCCCGGGGCGACACCCTCCCGCCGCCGCCCGCACCGCCCGCACCGCCCACCTCCCGGGCACAGTCGAGGCGCGACCCAGACGCCCAGCTTTTGGGGCACTTCCCGTGGCCAAGGCGAACGCCACGCCTTCATTTAACTCTGCAGAAGGTCGCCGCGGCGCCGCCCTCCTCTGCGCGCACGTGCGCCAGGCATCGCCATGGCAACCTCCCCTGCTCCCCCTCTTTCATTATTGAACAGCTGAGACTCCGAGGGTCCCTGAACTTGTTACTGCACCAGTTAATGCGATCCTCTGAGGGCTCAGTTTCCTAACTATTGTTCTTTGCGCAACTGACTGCTTCCTGACACTGGAAAAACCTACTCGTGTTTGAAACATTCTCCCCACCACTACTGGGCCGAGCTTGCCAGAGCAGAGGATTTGATCATTCTCTTCCCGGGAAATGCAGCAGAATAAACTGCAAGGAAAGAAATGCAACTCCATCCCCAATTTACTTACACTAAAGGAGACTTTGTAACGTTTGGGGGCTTCCGTTTCTAAGGATATAAATTGCCAGTAATGATATAAAATTATTATTGATTGTATTATTTTATAACTCTCTTCTCTCCCTCTCCCTTCTGTGATTAATGTTTGAAGGTGCAATGATCTGTAGCTATGGCCAATTAGAATGTCCAGTGAAAAGGCATTATGGGAGAAAATAAAAATTTATTCTTTTTAATTTTTAGTAATTGAAAATAATGACCCCAAAGGACTACATTGTGCCTGAACATTACTGATCAAAGCAATGCAAATTAAAATAGCAAAGGTATGCTACTTACTAAGGATTTTATTTGTTTTTGTTAACAGGCAGTGTTGACAAGGGTGTGGCAAAGATTTGTGGCTGGCAAATTAATAATTTGGTACACTCTTCCTAGAAGCAATTTTTTCAAAGAAATAATTACAATTTTGAGCAAAATACAGCTACAAGATGCTCATGGCAGCAATGTTTACAATAGATTTTTTTGGTTTGGATAAAGAAATCAATACAATGAGATATTGTGCATCCTTTAAAAGTAAAATCAGAGGATACATAAATCCTTGAAATAAATTCTTCATGATTTATTGCTAACAGAAAAGTAAATATTAAATAGTCATTCATTTGATCCTACTTAAATATATTTTTTCAAATATATTTTCTTAACAATGGTTCTCTCTGGATGTTGAAATTACAGGTGAATTTTTTCTTGTTTTCTCCGCTTTCTTTGACAGTGAAAAGCATTATTTTATATAACAATAAAAAATTTTAAATGTTTTTATTATGTCAACAGGCCCAATGTATTTCATATATATATATATAACATAATTGTAATTTATTTGTACATAGACTATAAATAAATGTATTTCTCTGAAAGGAAACTCTGGTGATTTCAATAGTGGAAAGAGCTCTGGATCACTCTCATCATTTGATGTTTCCCCTTAGATATTCAAGCACCTGCATTTAGTTTGGAAAGGAAAAAATTCTTTAATTCTTTATCATCTACCAAAGGAAGCCAAGTAAATTTCATTAAAAACATAATGATATTAAGGAACAGTCAAAAACATTTTAGAGTATAAAGCTTCATTAAGGCTTAAGATTTTCCTTTTGTTCTCATTCTCTGGCTTTGCATCTGCAAACTGAAGAGCAGTTGTTTAAAAGTGGAAATTCATGAATGATAATGAGAAACCTGATTCTATGGCTGATTGTTCCCAAAGTGGAATCCTTCAAAATCCTCTGTGGCCCCTGCACCCAAGTCCCAGAACAGCAGGGAATGACCTGTCATTTCATTCACTCACCATTGCTTGATCCTGCAGGGAAACTGCTCTCACCCTGGCAAGTGTGAACCTGGCTCTTGTCAAGTAGCTTTTGCACAGCCCTGCAGCAAAACACTCAGGTACCCCATTTCTCAGACAGATTCAAGAACCCAGGTCTGACCATCACAGTGAACTGGGGCCTTTCTAAGGCTTATGAACAGCTCCCTGTGAATTAGCCTGAAGAAAATAAATCATGGACCTGGGCAAAGATATAACTGTGAGAATGTTTGTCTTTATACTATTTTATAATAATAAAATTTTAGAACTCACCTAAATGTCCAAGACTTAGTGAAATTATAACTTCAAGGTGAAATGGGCCAGAAAGAAAAAAGAAAAATATTTGATGGTTTCACTTATAGGAGGAATGTAGAGGAACCAAATAAGGGATGAGGGGGGAAATATGTAAGCATAATAAAGTAAAAATCAAAATCAACAGGCAACTATAGATCAGAGACATTCTGTAGGGGAGGAGGAGGGAGAAGAATTGGGTCTGGGTGGGAAGAGCACAAGGGACTATGGTGATGGTGCACAGGTGAAATGGTGGTGGGAATTTCATAGGAAAATCATACATTGTACAAATATGAAGAATGATGTAATAAATATATATAAAAAGAAATTATAACTGCAAGATAAAACTATGCAGTCCTTATATATTATAAAAAAATGGAAGACAGAGACAAGTATTCAATAATGCAAGAAAATACTCACAGTGCAGTGTTAACTGCAAAGAAAGTCATGTTATATGTAGAATGTTCAATGTAACCCCATTTATATAAAACACATCCAATTATATACAGTATT